ATCCGGGATTCGAACCTCTGACCGTGCGTGTGATATAGTGCGACACTTGCCACTACACCACCTTCGTCTATATTCCACGGATACCACAAAGAATCCATTCAAACGAAGAACTCAATCTAATCTTGAGAGCTTCCCATCCCTTCCCGATTCAGGCAATCACAGGTTTTTATTTATGATGGAAGAACAGTTCTGCTAGTAACTTACTACAATTACTCCGAAAAGCTCGAAGGCCTACACAAAAAACGAAAGTGCAGACGTTTTTTTTTCTAGGGGTTATTAATGTGTCCCAAGAGGGAAGCGTAGCTGGAGCTATTTGAAACTGTGAAAAAAACTACGAAATTCTCTCGAGATGTGAGCAAACTCCTTTCTGCAATGTTCTTATAAATCTTAATAAATCATATTTTTCATAAATCTTGGTACGCATTTTGCTGCTTCGTGTGTGGTCCGAAAAACTTTCGAAGTTCCAGTAGTAGTAGGCCAGTGGGCTGCAGTTTTTTAGCGCTTTAGTTTTCAAAGTTTTATGGAAGGTAGTACCAATTTGTAAGAGCACCACCCTGTTGAGAATACAAGTCAATAAAGATTACAAAGTAATAAAAAAGTTATTAAAGGAATTGTAAACTGGTTCCAATCATTAAATGTCTAAAAACAATTTATGGAGCAGGTAATCAAAGGTTGGAGCAGTTAGGCCAAAAAAGGTGACTGCATGATTACAGGGACACGAACAGGCTGTACAAGGGTACAGCCACTTCCGACTTCCCTGTAACTTTGTATTACTTGTTACCCTCTTTCAATTGGGGTATTTTTCCAACCTAGAGCGAAATTGTAGTACCAACAAGTTGCAACTACTTCTTCATCCCTCTAGGAATGTAAAGCGTAAAGTGGCAATGAGCGGGATTGATTTATTTGCACTTAGTTACCTCAGTGGGAAAAACTGATGTTGTACCAAAGAACTTGCCGCAACCCATTGTAAACAAATTTCACATAATGCGCCATAATTACACTTGGGCACATATTTCAAATTAGCGTTAGTAAAAGTAGGCACAGAAGGGCCACCGAAAACCCGAAAGGAAAGGAAAAATGGCGCAAGCGTCCCACCAAAACAGGTATGGTTCGTCACCCATAAATACTGGTTTCAGTGGGTCACATTTCACTTTTCACGGAGGTATCGTAGAGCATTTGAAGGCCCATTAGGTCCGCGCAACAACCTGGAAAGCTTTTCCATAGTTGGTTACGGGAATGCGATCATGCTCTTTTCGAAAAGGAAGGGTTTGTGGTTTCGGGGATTGGGAATGGGAGACACGATTGGGCCTACCAAATTGCGGAGCGCAAACTGGTAGCATTGGAGGCTACTGACTGGTAACACTTGATACTTCAAAGGGTAGAAGAAGGAAAGGTACGGCTCTGCCTCTGTGAGAGATACAAAATGAAAATCCTACCTAGGTCAGGGATTTTTTCAGAAAGCGCAGAAGATCCTAGAGTCCTGAACTGCTCGACTTTTTTCGTCCTTCCAGTATTTATATAATATTTATGCACGGTGTAATTTGTAATTATGAAAATTGAATGGAAGGTTGGGGAACTGCCGCTTTCTTAAGACTTCAATACCCCCTTGAATTCCCTGTTGACTAACACGAGATGTAGGAAGATGAAATAATCTCTGCATTGATTTTGTTGTCGCTTTCACAAAACTCTTTTCAGGCAACAAATAAAAAAATAAATGCAAATAAAAAAGAGCTCCATGGATAAATGTGTAATCATGATTGATAGATGGGCAACACCGCGATATGATTCATTAGAAGCCCCACCTATCTCAGCTTTGTTCCCTCATGTACCTCTCCCTGCTTTGCAGTAGAATCTGCCCCAAGCTACCCGTATGGGTATTAGCCGTATTGGGGCTTGGAGTGAATCACATTTTCCGAGGACCGCGGCGAACTATTCATAAGTCCTTCTGGGAAGGCAAAATTCGAAAAATGTTCCTCAATTTCACAAGTAATCACTGAAAGGGGAGGGTCTAGCTGACTAGAAGGACTCTGAACGACCTTAGCTTCTCACTTTACCCATCAAACAGACTTCAAGTAGACTGTGAATGGACTCACACACTTTCAGCTGAACTTCTTTATTTACTTACGATTACATCTTTGACAGGAGCATGTGACAACACATTTACCGTCATGCTAAGCCATCGCGCACTTGCAGGACTACGAACGACTCCAAATCTTGGGTTCCCTCGACTGCTATGTGACTTAGGACAATTAGTTCGAAGTCTTTGACCTATATGTTGACTTTGGGTATAAGCCAGGTACCTTTTGAGAGGTCTCTTTTGGATTTGATCAGAAGTAAGCTTGTGTAAAGAAGACTTCTAACGAAGAGAGTTTCTTTTTTCACTTTTCCGATTGCTCCAGTTCTTGTCTATACTCATCGCCTACACTTTTACCCTTATTGTCTCAACCATATGAGCTCATTGACTTACCTATTTCTCGAACTTTACCCTTACTGTACCCTTTCTGTACGATTTTCAGCGGACTAGGACTACTATTTACATTGTATTCAGGTAGACATTCTGAATGGGAAAGCGGCGGCCTTGGCGGATGGTATCAGGAAAGCTAAGAAATGGGTGGACCTACAAGGGCTCAGCACTACTGGACCTTTGCAGAACCACTTGTTAATAAACTCTGGTACATTCCCTTTGATACTTTGTAATAAAACTAGAATGGTAGAGCTGGGTAGTCGAGGATCGGATCATGGCTATGGAAGGATTATTTTGAGAGGATCCAATAATATGGGGTTTTAAAAAGTAATCCTAAAGCCCGACATAACTGATGCCTCCTACAGCCCCAATCACACCAAAAGTGGTACAACTTGAGCAGGTCTCCTAAACCATCTCTACGCTTTGTTAGAAATGGATGTAAATGACAAATAAATACATTTAACGAAATATATTCTTGAATGCCAGGCGTCCCAATTCACCCATAGAAAGGGGCATGTAAGGAACGAGAACCTGAAAAGATTCATTTATATTTGCTGATCCGGAAGATGGATTGCCTTTGACATCCAGATAGGTCTGTAGCCCCCCCCCCCCTCCGTAGTGGGTTTCCCAGGAAATTTTTGTCGAGGTGAAGGGAGTTCCCAGTCAGTCTAACACTATGAGTCACCTTCTATAAGAATATTCTTGCTTGGTTATTGTCCACATTCTCCACAACAATATTTTTGAATGAATAACATTAATTTTAGTCGGAAAAATACCAGCAACGTTTAATAATAAACCACCAACGGGTGTGACTCAACTTTCAATTTATGCGAACAAAATGTTATAATCAAAATTCCAAAGATACAGTTCAGATGGAACCAGATGGAGAGTGACTTGTTCTGTACACAGTAATGATCTTTGCTCCTCCATCATTCCCTGAGTGAACTCCTATAAAGCCACCCATGGAAATAATGATGCTTTATTGAAGAAACAGACTCTTCAGAGTGGCTCCAAAGACTGGTTTTCGTAGGACTTTTGACTTTTCAGTTGGAGCTGGAGGCCTTTCTGACTATCCGAAAATGGAAACCGCTCTCATTAGTCTCCCTTGTTGACCGCCAATTGCGTAAGCCATAAAAATGACAATAAAGGGCGGTCGCAAATGGCCGAAAGTAGTAACAAATTCCACATGCATGTTCATGGTGTCGCTGGTCACGATCGTCGGCCATCCGCCAAGAATGGTGAAATGGCCGGCGTCCNTTATGCGAACAAAATGTTATAATCAAAATTCCAAAGATGCAGTTCAGATGGAACCAGATGGAGAGTGACTTTTCTGTACACCGTAATGATCTTTGCTCCTCCATCAGTCGCTCAGTGAACTCCTATCAAGCCACCCATCGAAATAGTGATGGTTTATTAAAGAACGATGAAACAGACCCTTCTGAGCGGCTTCAAAAGACTGGTTTTCGTAGGATTTTTGACTTTTCAGTACGAGCTCGAGGCCTTTCTGACTATCTGAAAATGGAAACCGCCCTCATATTTCTCCCTTGCTGACCGCCAATTGCGTAAGCCATAAAAATGACAATAAAGGGCGGTCGCAAATGGCCGAAAGTAGTAACAAATTCCACATGCATATTCATGGTGTCGCTGGTCACGATCGTCGGCTATCCGCCGAGAATGGTGAAATGGCCGGCGTCCGGCCGGCTTTTCTACTGCCTATCAGCCGTTAATCGTCCCAGCAATTCCTCATGAGAAGCCTTAAAATCTGGTATCGACCTCTGCCCCAGTGACGGATGATTAGTACTCCCAGTAGCTGACAAATGGTTACGATCGCCGTGTAGTTACCCGCCCGATCCAGCGCTCGGGTCACAATATGAGTTATTCCCTGATTCAAGGCCATTGTCTTGGGACCTTATGTCATTCATCTTTAGGCCATGTTTCATTGCATCTGCTAATCGAGTAGCAGCTTAGCATGACCCAGTTCTTCTGGGATTTGAATGTGTGCGCACGCTAGCAAGTATTCATCGCATTCTTCCCTTAACAATCCCCCAGACAGTTCATTTCAAAGGCTTCTCCCATATGGGTTCATCGTTGCAGATTGTACTTCTCAAAGAAGCTTTCTTATGTCATTTTCTAACTAAAGCGATTGGACAGATTGGGCTCCCGGTGCTTTGAATCGTAAGGCGTTATCTTTTACGGCGTTGGCGACGGTCGTACGCCACACGCCTCCGTCGTCGTCGGGCGATTTTCATTTTTCGACGATAAGCGAACAATGCTATTGACAAATATCACCCCCTTCTCCATTGCCGTTGCATCGTTTACGAGCTTTCACGAAAAGCCTTTCAGATTTTTCAGGTTTCCCATCAGTGGTTCATATTCCCGAGAACCTACGGTATGTGGGCCTATTATGAGGGTCCTCGTGTGTGTTGCTGTTGGAGCTTTGCAAAGGAACACCTCGTTTATTTGTTTCTCGGCCATCTTCAGCCGCAAATTTGCAAACAAACGTTCGAGAGCTTCATGCTCGATGTCATTGAGCGGAGACCGTACGGAGCCCCGTTCATTTTCATCATTCTCTTTGATCATTAGAACCTGATTCATGATTCATGGATGATTCAGCAGGTCCCTTTCAGTACCTTACCCTTACAGTAGTACGAATAACTTTGTAGGAAATGAAGTTGGGAAAAGTCTTCCCAGCAGCTTCTACAGGGGAAACCTCTCAACTCTTCTTAACTCAGCCTTATCGATCAGTCAATTCTCGTTGTTGAATCTTAAAAAGCGCTCTTTTGAGAAAAAACTCTAAACCCTCCCATAAAAAACCGATTCCACGTTCTCTTATCTTGGGGCGGCTCATAGATATTTTCATAACCCTGATAATTCCGGAGACCCTGATGTAGTCGTGATCGCGCTTCTGTTGATTTGCCCATCCCATTCGCTTGCTTTAGTGGTCCTCGCTCCTCTCTAATTGCCGTCGGGATAGTAGCGCATATTTCTTTGTTGAAACGAATGCTTAGGAATGCCGTGTTTGCATAGGATGAACTTGAAGCCTCCGCCGTCTTTCATCCCTTGACTGCACTGTTGTTATTTATTTCTTCTTCCATTGAGCCACGGAGCAAGCAACATGCTTCGCAGTGCATGGAAAACCCCCAATATGAAAAACTGGAATGGCGCTGCCTAGCCGAAAAAGATTCTCCATCGGCCACTGGGTTGTTTTCTTCACTCTCTATCATGTCCAGCCCATTTGACTCATCCCTTTGTGCCTTTTGCCTTTGATTTCATCTAATAACAACTTGTTCCGTATGCTAATATAAATTATATGACTTTTAAAAAACCTTATGGTTATGGTATATATGTTACGGTGTGCTACAGTTTACGATCCCTTTATTAGAAAAGCTTTCTTTCGTCAAGAACCTTAAAATTTGCCGGTGCCGCTTCAACATTTTTGCTAAATGAACTTTATTGGTTTACGTGGGCCTTCTATAGGAAGTAAACATTCTTCTACCGAAAATAAACAACAACAACGACAACAACAAAAGCTTTAATGCTAGAGCTGACGAAACCTCTACGTCACGCTTGGGCTATACGCTTTCCGTTCGGGCCAGTTCTACCTGTCTTTTCGTAAAGTAAAAAACTTTGGACTGGTTTGTTGATCATACAAGCATCAATTGCGGATTTAAATTCGGTTGGTTGTCTCTGGAGGAATCTTCTGTATCTGTTCAGCATCCTATGATAGCATCTATTGACATACCTCAATCTCGTCCACTCATTCTGGCTCCTGTTGCAGCCTATATCATGTGATATACCCATATTTTCATGGTCTTTTCTGTAATCATTCAGGACCCCGTGACTGCACACATCCTCTACCACACCTATATTTTGTCCCCCCTCCCCCCCCCCCCGTGGTATCTTCCGCACAAATAATGGCCCCCTGTTACAGCCTACACCGAATGATACCTATATTTCGCCTTAACTAAGAACCAACTATCTAGGTTAGTGCTCACTGAATTGCGTTGAATTCAAAAGCATGGCTTAATCCGGTAGTGCTCCTCAACAACTAAAATGACCTCCATGATTTCTAAAGCATTTCTTGACTTACGGAAGCTTCCTTGGGGAAGCCGAATACATGGCTCACTCCAACTTGGCTTACCGTACTAGGTACAGTTCTTGATGGATTTCGTTTTGACGAACTTCACCATTTCGATGTTTAGTGGAATTTAGAGTATCGTAGCATTTTATGCATGCGTGTGTGTGTATGTATAAGCTGGCAATTGATAGTCTAGACGTGAGCGAACAATTGGCAGCGTTTATCAGAAGAACGGGGAACGAGGAGCGTAAAGGAATAAGAAAACCTCAGCAATTTTCTTCTCGTCATTACATTTGTGCTATCATGCAGAATACAATCTATAAATCGCCTGATCGACCCTTATTACAACCATCCGATTACTCTGTAGAAAATCGTTGCTTTACAATCGTTTACACCATCATGACCATGCCATCTCACAAGGACGACGAGTCACGAGTGTGGTGTTAAACCTCGGACAGTGCCCATACCAGTACTTGTGTATTCCGGGAAGGGAGTTCTTTTCGGACTGTCTGCCAAGTCGACCCAGCAACTTACTACTCCTTTAGGAGAGGGCTAATATGAAAAAAAAACTACAGACGAAGGTTCTAGGATCGAATTTGGCTTAGGCCAGTTTACAGTTCCTCTCTTTTCCGTAGAGCATTGCTCCAGAAACGAAAACGGGGAAAGTTCGGGTCCTGGCCCAATTCGTGTAACAATTATTAACCTTCCAAGAGACCCATCTTTCAATCGAACATTGACTAGTGTCGCTGAGAATTTTTTAAAAAACTTTCAAACAGCAACATAATCGATCTAGTACGACATATCTATCAATCGATCTCCGATCTCCGCCCTTTTCTGTATGGAACTGTTTTAAAAAACTTTACACTTATGACTTTTGACATAGGAAAAAATAGCATATCTATCACCCTGGCAGTTCCTCTTTTACCAGAAGGCATTTCGATAATCAACAGGAGCTACAGACAGTGTGTGTCCCAACTTAGGCTTGAAGTAGTGGTCCGGGAATTGTTGGACCTTCTGTGCCTTGGGTTCTGATTTTCGGAGCAGATGCAACTTCCTCATTGAAGATTAAACGTACTCGATAGCTTGAAGCCTAGAACTCTATAATCATTAGGTTTTTCATCTTTGCACACGGCTGTTTCGGACAGGACCAATAAATTACGGCTTATATTTTTGTTGAATGAACAATGTAAGGATTTTACGGATGGACATCGAGGTCCAGTAGCCTTCTCACATCGTACTCATCTAGTCAGTGTCAGTGACAGAACGATGGCTCCGATTTTTCTCGCTACTTCTCGTTCTCAATTTTTTTCGAAATTTCCTTGGTCGACCTACATACTTCACTACGACTGCTTTACAGGAGTTCTTTATTGTCGGATTTAGGAAAATAAGGAAGTATAATAATAATAGAATAATGAGAAAGCCTAGCATTTCTTCTCCGAGGCGGGCACCCTTTCACTCTATAAACCTATTTGATTTGCCCTCACAAGGTTTGCTGCGAGTTATGGACAAGGCATAGGCCTCGGACAGGACTCGAACCCATACTTGTGCTATCCGGGCACAGTAGTTACTCCCTCTCATCACTGAGATCCTGCTTCTTCCTGCCTCTGATGGCTTTTATACCATAGCTTATCAGCACTCAGACGTACAACATGGTGAGCCGTGAGCCACTCTGTTCATTTGGGTTCCTCAGTTGCTGCATAAGCTCATTCCACTCAGCATAGCTTCCACATTTCAACAGGGAACAATATGGGTACCGAAAAAGTCATCCAAACCACAAACAGTTCCAAAAAAGTAGTGTAGGCACATTCCAAGGCACGTTTTCGATCCCGAACTCGTTTCCGACCGAGGATGTAGTCATCCAAAGCCTGCTCATCTTAATAGTCTATACTAATATTGTTTTAGCACTTATGCCTTTACTACCTGCTTACTTACTACATCCGCAATTATGCCAGAAGCTCGTTCTCAACCAGAATCTCACGAAATGCTCAGAAAAATCATACTTTAGATATGCTTTCAACGAATTGATAAATGAATTTAGCCAGTCTTTCATTGATTTTCTCATTTTTCTAACAATCAGATATCAATGAGGTCCACTAACATCTAGCGCTCTGTTTTGGCATTTTTTGTATGTTTTGGATTGCATACCAAGCATCTGAGAAAAATATCACTTTTTTTTCGTGGGACCACTATAGTATTGCCGAAAACATCGCTGAAATCCTGCCACAAACTTATTTATTTTTATTCTTTTATCCTCCTTTGTATCCATAAGATTTCCATACACCCTGTATGAAATTGTTCAACAAACAGAAACTGGGAAAAGTTTTTGGATAGCGATAGGGACAGCATAGGAGGATAGGGCTCAGATTAAACTAAAATGATAAAATTCCGCAGATTAGGTATCTACCAGTTACCAGTAGGCCACCCATCCTTATCAAAATCATCGCTACCCGAGTGAGGAACTGTGAAAAAATCGTTTGTAGTGCGGCCTTCCTTCAAACAAAAGGATAAGGAACCAGGCCAGCTAATTTGATGGGTGCTTACCCTATCGCTCTATAGCAGCCACCAGAGGTCCAGTGCTCCTCTACTACAATGGACGCTGATTGTTTGGAAAAAGGAAGTACGTGGAACAGTATAGTTGATATTATTATCGATTATCCTTTAATTTTTCCATTATTACTGATTTTTGAACATTCAATATTCAATATTCGAGGCATCCACTATTTATGAAATAGTTTGGTACTGATAAGGACTTCTGATTTTACAATTAGTACGAGATAAGTGAAAAGAGCATGGTACCACTGTCCTTAGTCTTTTCGGTAGTAGCACTTCTCTTCTTAATGTTTTCGGTAGTGGGTATGGCCTGGAAAAAGGAACCATTCTTACTGGTAGACGCTCCTTTTTTGAAATTTCAAGCTCTTTCTATAGGAATGAGAAAGAACTACTTTTGGCTCCGAAATTCATCTACTTTTTCATACATTATGCAAAACTTTGCTTTGAAAATGCTTCGCACAAGTTTGGTGTGGATTCTAGGTCAGTGCCATTGAAATTCGATGACAATACCGGTATGGTCCGCTAGAGCAGAACCTCGTTTCTTCACAATTGAGGTCACTACGGCCTATCAACCTTTGTTGCTGATGTGAACTTTTGAAAAAAACAGGGACACAATCGTTTACATAAACTCCTACCAGATCTAATCATTGTTTTCTCCCTCAATTGCCTCTCTAGTTAGTCGTGAAGATTGTTTTCGCCATTAGGAGGATCGTTCATGATGTCTTTTTCGTATTCTAGCTCTCATTAACGTGAATTGAACTTTTTAAAGCTCTGTTTCAGGGTCATCTCGACCAATTTCTTCTACAAAGCCGACCAGAATCCATAGCCGTTCAACCTTAACAGAGGTAATATGTAGTATCATCTGAAAGAAACGACGGGACCAACCATCCCATGCTGCATAAACAGTTCCCACGCGATCTCGTCACCTGATACCTCGCCTGGTTTCTGGCTGCGAATTCCTCTGGATGCGCTTCCCACAGTGTTGATTCCTTTCATGGGCGTTAATGCCTTCAGAGGAGCGTACCACGCCCGTGTCAGTCAAAGAATTTTTTCTTGCCTTATCTGAACTTGTCGTACTCCCATTTAATATCTGGCTCCATGACTCATCCATGGGTACCTGGACCTGATGGCTTCATTAATGACCAAACTCCTCCTCATGTTGTACAAGTCCGGGGCAGTTAATCGTGCTCCCAGTGAAGTACACGACTTGTTCTCGTCCTGTACTCGATTTTGTTTGACTCCCGAACCCCTGATTCTTGACTTATCAGATTTTGAGTGGAATTTGTGACAATAACAGGCCGAATGCCATGATGACCTCATCCTGCCCCCGCTGCCGCTCGACGATTCAAAAATTGCGTTCACTGGGTGCCATAGTCGTGTGTCATCGTCGCCACAAACTCCTCATAAGCACACGAACAAGTGGTTTCCCCACGATCTCCGCCTCCCCATCTCACTTCATCACCTTCACAATTCCTTCTGTTATTCAGTTGTACCTTTCAGATTCTGGACGATGTCGTCTTGGCTACAGTTGTTGCTCCTACTTTCCACCCTAGCCTGTATTTGTGATGCCCGATGCAGATACCGTGAGAGCCGAGTCCGGGTGAGTCTTTCGTTCGAGGAAGGGTCAGTGTTCCTCTCCAGGCATCCACTTAACGACATGCCATTTCAGGAATTAGCGATCAGATTACCAAGAAATTGTCGTGGTCCGAAACCTTCGGTTGTGGGAGAAGAGTATTGGAGTTCTGTTGGTTACAATGGAGCCCTAAGGTGGGGATCCAGGGCCCATGAGGTCAGGTGGATCGATTTTTGAATTCCTCCATTTCAGGGATGGCCGTACTACGAATGATTTCCTCACTCTCCCACAGTCAGGGGACGGAGATATTCGATCAGGATGGGTGGCTTACTGGTAAGTTACTTACTGGAATTGGATTCTCTTAATCTATCCTATCCCGGAATCCTTTTCATTTGCTTTCCCAGAAACTTCTTCTTATGGGTTCAAGATCCAAGATGTCTCCGACTTCTTTTTTAGGACGTTTTTAAGAAGCTTACGTTTTTTTCTTTCCTTTTTGCTTTGCTCTGCAATTTCTTTTTTCGATTTTTAATATGAACTGATCATGACGGACGATTTTTGTCATTTCAAGGATCACAAAGACGAAATACGGGGACGGCCAACACTATGAGGTGTTTGGGCACGCTTTCATGAGGAGTGACGGACGAATTTGCGCTTTGTTTGCCGGACGAAATCGCGATATGGTCGAGATTTGTGGAGGATTCCGTGTTCTTTCACGGAATAAAAATAATCCAAATGAAGAAATGCCGTAAGTTATGCATTCCCATCCGACTTTATAGGATTAACTTCCAGACCCGATTTTGTTAAGCCTCCGAGAGCCACTGATCAGTTTTTAGTAGCAAAATTTGTTCCTCAGAATGTCTACTGATTAGTTCGATTCGATATTAACGTCAAAAGTAAAGCCGTGTGACATTAAGTTTTTCGAAAGCCGTAAAATAATGGACTGATAACATGGTGGTTGAGATGGGCCATCATGGGAGTAATAGCTTCTCCTCTCGAAGCCTGTACTCAAAACAATTCCGTCCAGCTCGATTTTTCACGGTATTCCCTGCAATTGGAGCTGGTTTTTAGACCGGATCGGGCATTGTTAGCTGCCAATGTGTGATTCATAGTTTCGTAGAAATAGCTACATCAGTCAACGGGATCAGCTCAGAAATATTTGGAGGCACGCTTTGGAACGCAGATGGTACACCATCTGCGATTCAACAATCTGATAAAAGGCGAAAGAAGCTACTTTAAAAAANAAAAAACATAAACAGAAATTCTTTTCTCAGTCCCACGTAGAAGAAACCAGTTCATCTTGAATTGGCCTAGAGTTTGTGGCCACGGGGAGGGATCGTACTCACCCACATGGCTCAGTTCTGAAGATCGAGTTCATGGGATGGCATGAGTGGTGCTTTTCACATGTCTGGTTTGACTTCGAAGGCACGTTATCGGGTTGATATCGCGCTGAAATGGTTGGTCGCTGACGGAAAGTAAACTTTACGCTTTCTGTTACGCTTTTAGCAGCGTTGACAGAAAATACCTGAAGCCCGTCCTGCTCAAGTTTTGCCGTTTAGTCTGTATTCTAAAGGAATTCATGTACCAGAAACTGGTATCGCTACCATTGTCAAGCTTCTGGGAAGAATCCCGACTCAATGTGCTCCCCAGGCCAACTAAGCCTTCCATCCCACCAGTGTTGGTTCCAGACTAGTCTGCGATTACAAAAAACGGACCTTTCATCATACGGCTCTCTAAGGTCATTGTAGAATACAAATACGCATTGCAATGTCACTTCGATTCTGAATGGGAGTCGAATACGTGACGACCGTCGAACTACTCCAAGGAAATTTCTTGATCTGTTGGAACTTTCCCTCCTCCTCTCCCAAAACAAGGAAAAATTGGCTCATGAGCAGCTGATGGAGGAGGACGTTTCCAAGACAGTATATGGTCTTGTAATGGTTCCATAAGGTGCAAGGTTTTGTAATCTTGGTAGAAACTCCCACTGAGGAGAGGTTGGCCAGCTGATTTTATAATTTGCTCCATTCCACAACAACGTTCAACCTCTGGGTCAAAAACCTGGAAAGAGTCGGGCAATAAATATTAGATGTTGCGTTACTTTCTTGGGAAATACGGCTGCCATTGTACCAGCTTAAGAGGCAATTATCTGCTTGACTGACGTGGGTGAGAACCGATTCAGGAAACACCATACAGTCTCACCGCCTGGCACTTCTATGATTTGTGATAATAGCCTCTAATGTGGAAGTACCCAAAGTCTAATTAGACACCTGATAAAAAGATTCTCTGCCATTAAGTTCACTCATTGTCCTTTAGGTTTTCGTTGAACCTTGTCCGCTAGATGTTTAATATTGGTATTTTTCTGCATTCGAGTTACTCAATCCTTTCCTGGTTGACTGAGTAGAGGATGGCTATGTTGATTATAACAGGAAATTTGGTTAAGGCGTTTTTTCTAGCTGTCATAAGAAAGACCGTCTCAATGGGAACGCCTAAGCGCTGCCCCACCCTCATTTCTACTCTGAACCAGGCATCAAATGACAGATGCTATAGACGTGAACTGAGGTGTAAACATCTGTAGATCGGGCTCCTTTCTGGCATTCCTGTTTCTTCACAAGGTCCACCAAGGTCGGCCAGTCGACATCAACATTGATATGAAAACTCTGAATTGGAATTCGGCTGGCTCCCGGAATAACCTAATTGGCTATTGAATGCTCTTTTATCAAAGACGAGAGGCGAACGCATGGCGCAATGCAAAACAAGTCGATGTGCTCTGACCACTTTATCCCTGAATTTCTCCTTACCTCGAAAAGACCACGTGATTCCTATTGAAGTGTTCACTAGTATTAAAACTTAACGTCTAACGTATCCTGATCGTGCTCAGAGTGTTTGTATCGAATTGTAAGATGTGTCACGAACTCTGCTCCCAATCAGAATCGCAGTAACGTTTGAAAGTTAATTTGGCTTTACAATGACCAGCGGGAGCAGCTACTGTGACGTAAATGTCAGCGTTTTTATCCCCTGATAAGAGCTTGCCACCAGTTAACTAAGAGATGGAAGGAACGCTCAGGAAGCGTGAGTACGATCCAGAAACTTGTTCCCAGGCCCGGTGGAAAAAAATGTCGTGTGACACAGAAGCAGTTACGCCATTCCATCACCCATCCCAATGAGACCTACCTCTGCTGGAAAGTATTTTAAATTTATTTCAGCATGGAGATGAAGAAAAGACTACAGTCGCCTCTTAAGGGAATTCTCTGAAAACCAAGAATTTCAATTTGACCGAAATGTGCACACTTCAGCTATCTTTATGCGCGTCGTTAATATTCTTGTCCTTGTCGGCTTAAAAAAAACGTGGTGCTTGAGAAAACAAATCTTGGCAACATTCGAGACATATCAAATATAACTGCCCTTTACAGCCGGTCTCAAGACCATTTTCCAGGAATTCTTTGTCATCAAACACACAAAGAACTCGAAACGTACTATGAGGTTCCAGAGGGTTCACAAAATCGCTTGATTTTCAGCTTCGAATGGATTCAAGCAGGTTACGCGCACCCACGAGAAGCACTTGGCTTCCATCATCATCGAATTGCCAAGTACGAATGGACTCCAGAAGATGTGAGTGGTTTACATCCATCAAATCTCTCTGACGATAGGGTGGATAGGAGTGGCTATAGCTGCTATGAATTGTTGTTGCACGATCATTCTACGATATAATTGTCATGTAGCCAGCCATCTTCTGGCTCTGACAATGAAGACGAATTGCCGTCTCATTTTGAGAATGAATGTTTGTACGGCATATCGTAGACTGTTGTTACTTATGATTTAATGCGTGCCGTAGCCTTTTCACATCTCCCACTTTAGAAATACTGGCACAAACTTCAATACTTCAATCACTGCTTCCCATTGGCTAGATAGTCGGATTCCAAAAGTGAAAAAGCTTCGATCTTTGGGGGCGATCCACTCCTTGACATCGGACATCAAGTTATCCAAATCGACGTAACTTTTACTCTCTAGCCATTTTTTCAGCGAACGGTTGAAGAGATAATGTATAGAAGTTTCTGCTGGTGAATATGGGATATTTAGGAGCAGATCCCATTTCTTGGTTGGCTTTAGCTGATTGTTCCATCGCCGAAAAGTTACTTGGGATCGCGGAATGACACTGTCATCTTCCAATCTTTCTCGAAATAGTAGAGCCTAATTTCGCAAATATGCGAATGGTTTTCTAATTACATTTTTGTAGAGAAAATCGAGCAGATCATTTCTAGAAAAACCCAAACTCAATAACCAAATTCTTGCAAAAAGCTGCGAAAAAATCCGCAATAATAATGCATCAACCTAATATATGTAGCCTCCGGAACGGTCAAGAATGGGTTGGGCGGTCTCCTTAGGATATGACATCTATTACACTTTTGTTCATTTGTAATCATGGATACCAGGGAACGTGCGCTGGAATGAGAGAACGTTACGTGAGATGTTATACTTCAGTTGTCAGTGGTTGTCTACCTGATAAATCTAACCTAACTTGATCAGCTAAAACCCTAACCTAGAGATCACAAAGCCTCCGTAGGACTCTCCATGTATCCGGCAAATCAGTGTTGTCAGTTTATGCAATAGTTTGGTGAAGCAGGCAAACTCGTACCAA